TGTTTTTGTTTCTGTTAGCAACTTATGTTGAGTTGATGAAATAATTTCGTTGCCCGAACAGATGCGCATTTGTTTCAATTAGCTCGCAACTGACCAAATGGAGTGGCGGAGTACTATATGATATTCCAGTTATATGATTGATCTCTGTTTGTCCATCTTTGCGCGCTCTGGCACCCTGTAATTAGCGCGTGAAGTGTTCCTCTCGATACCCTACCTCAAGGCTGTTTAGACTTGTCAAACGATATGTTTTCAATATTGTAAACCATTAAATGAATATAATTCAGTTTAATATATAATAATAGAAGTTTTTTATATGAAATGAAATGCAGTTGGGATAATCTACCATATATCGATATTATTTGTACACATTATCTTTATAGTCAGCTGTCTCTGGAAATTTTTCTCATATACATATATTAATACTGGTTCTTTTAAATATTAAGCATATTTATAGATAGTTATAATACAATATACGATTGATTAATAATATTTATTATTAATTTATTAGAATAACTTCTTTGATTATTAATAAATTGTTAAGAAAACATAAATTAGTTAAATCAAAATATAAGGGAAATTAAAATAAACTGAAAATATTGTCTATGAAGTACTATCAATATTGTTTTATAAAAATGTTTTGCATGTGTAAATAATGATTCTATTTTAACATCATTAAATTTTAATAATTGATTAATATTTCTGATTATATTATATCATTACGTACAAATTCCATATTACTCTGAAAGAGTATTCAACTTTAATCGATTTTATACATCTTAAATATAAATAGGAGCATTTAAGGTTAGAGTATTCGCTAGCCAACATAGGACAGTTCCGAAACTTTACTTCGCTTATGTTTTGGACAATTGTAAGTGGAATTTAAATGAGTTTAGTTGCGGGTAGTGGAAGCTACCGCCTCGCAAGCAGCTTGCGCAGAGCCTTGGACTCAACCTCCTCCCAGCAGCTGTCAATCACAATGATTTATGTCGCCGCCACAATAATATTGAGAAAGAGATGGCAAGTCGACAGCACGGAGTGAAAGGGATAGAGCGAGAGAGAAAGACAGAGCGACAAAGAGGGGCAGACGGGGAAAGCGAATGTTTGTATCTCTGTGCATTTGCCTACATCAACGCGTCAATTTATCTTTCCGCAGTTGCAGCGAAACTCATCAGCGGCGGCTTCTTTTCTTTTATAATGAAACCCCCTCGCTGACCCCCTGCCAACCCCCCTGGGCATGCGACGCATATGCGGCCTGGCGCTTATAGAGCTTTACTAAGCATACACTATACGCTCAGCAGAATGGAGTATATTGGTCCTCTATCACTACATATCAAAGCTTCCTTTCTCAGCTGGCGAATTGAAAGTTTGGTAATGAGCTGTGTACGATTAAGTGAAGAGTATGGTATGATAATATATGGGATATATAGAAGTAATGCATATAGTTGCACAATCTTATATGTTTTATGTTTTTTAGGCATTATTGGGGTCACCTAAAATGAATAATGAGTTATTAAAGTTAGTTACATTTTACCTTACGGCACTTATGGAGTTTGTCTATTGCATACGATCATATCATATTATGAAGATCAAGTTCTTAGGCTAAGGTAATCAATTTGTTAGACTATCAAACATCTGTATAAGATAAATCAGCTCACATCCAGAATCTATCTCAATCGAAAAGTTGCGATTCAGTACTACAATCCAGTCAAGTTTCAAGGAGTATCAGTAGTATTTGGAACCTTATTTCAATATTATATTTATAATTGGAATATGAAAAGAACCATATTACATTTATACTTGGAACCGCAGTTCTCTCTGTCCACGCGTTTCTTATAGAGTATCTGTCAGCCGTGTGCTTGTTTGTTCTTACGTGTCTTTTCTTTATAATATTTTTCACATTTTTCATTTGAATTTCATTTTATTTATTGCTTAATTGTCGCAGCTTTTGATGAACTGTTTGTTTGGATTTGCCGCGACAGTTTTCATAGTTCCAGAGGCACACACAGAGAACTTGGATAAGATCGCGCTTGAGGTGTGGCCTGTGCCAGTGGCTGTAGCTGCAGTTGCGACTCAATGAGATGAGATGATGAGATCTCTTCCCCCTTGTACCTGCCACTGCCACAGCTTGTAAATTGCGGCAGCAGCTGCTGCTGTTGCTGCTGTTGTGCCCTGTAATTTGGGCTTGGCTTGGTTTTGTGTATTGCTTCGTGACACCCAGCGCCATCTTGGGGCTACCTACTGGAGTCATTTACATTCCGGCTCCCAGAGCCCCGGCAATTGCCTCAGCTTTCCACTCTCGGCTCCATTCCGGCGCAGCTCAATTTACCAATCAAATAACAAATGCGCCGCCAAAGCTGCTATTAATGGCGGCCAAAACGGTTCAGTTTCAGCCCCAACTTTGGCTCCAGCCTCAGCTGAGGCCTCTCTATATAATTTCCACGAACTCTCCCATTGTCGATAATAATTGATTTGATTGATGTTTCGACGGCTGCTGCTGTTGCGGCTCTTCACTCTTGATTGGTTGCGTTTCCTTTCTCTCTTTCTTTTGATAACTCGCTGTCTCTCGCTCTCTTTCCCTCTCGCTATATACTCTTTTGTCTCTGTT